TATGCCATGATGTTTCCAACTAGGATATTATAATATTTATAATATTTTGTCATTAAATTGATTACCAGTATAAATTAAAACATTAATTTTCTTAATCTACTTAAACTATAGTTCAATTGAATCACCGCTTGAAGTGTTAAACAATAAGATATTAAAACTGAAAATAGTTTTCGATTCAATGATTACACAAGAATTGGACAAAAGGCCGGAATGTAAAGTGATTTTAGACAAATTTGACGGCTTCTCTATTGACGCATATATTTTGGCAAATAATTCAAAATTCCAATCAATTATAAATTCACTTAAAACCCATCCATGTACATTTTTCTATTCATTTTATGAGACCCAACTTTTACATTACAGTATAAAATACAATATAGTAGACCAAGTTGGATATTATAACAAAATATTTACTCAAGAGTCACAAATAGGGACTGGGGGCTACGGCACAGTGCATCAAGTTACAAATATAAATGACCACAAAATATACGCCATTAAAATACTAAAACTTAATGGTATGAAATATTAAATTGTTTACTCAAATTTCCATTTATGATTCATTTTATTTCATTAGATTTAAATGAACGCGAAATATATAATGCAACTAAAGAGGCAAATAATTTATTGGGAGTTCAATCGGAATATGTTGTCCAGTATTACAGCTCATGGCGTGAAGGCAACTGTATTTATATTCAAATGGAGTTATGCTCACAAAATCTTCGCAATGTTATTAAAATCAAACCACAAATATTTGGTCGACAATTAGAACATCCCATGGATTGTGTCGAGTATTTCATTTCGTGTGAAATATTCCGTCAAATCTTAGAAAGTGTTCAGTATTTGCATGAATTGGATCCACAGATCATTCACAGAGACCTCAAACCAGAAAACATATTGATTGCCAAAAATGTAAGGAACGGTAGGTTTATTAAGTTATGCGACTTTGGGTTGGCTGTTGAGCACCAGAAGGTATCTCAGAGTCACACCAGAAATGTGGGAACTTTTGTATATATGGCCCCAGAATTGGGTCAATCAAAGTATACCATAAAAGTGGATATTTTTAGTTTGGGTATACTTTCGATGGAATTGTTTGACATTATATTAGAGTAAGTATTGAATAGTAATTGTATTTATAATTTAATATTTAATATATAAATCATTATTTCAGTGGAAGTGAACTGGTTAAATATACAAACACATCACTACACGACAGCATTAAAAATATACTAGGTGTTTTTAATTCAATGATTAACTACGGATCGTACCTCAGGCCAGAGTGTAATGATATATTAAATAAATTTGATACATGGTCACTTAACAAGGACAGTATTGATTCAAATATTAGTGCATTTACTAAATTTATAAATCAACACAATTCCGATAATTATTTGCTTTTTAAAGATATTATTACATATAAATTAAAAATTGACAAAATAAGCAATGTAAATCCAGTATCGCCAGAATAAACAAAATTTGGATATAAAATATAAACCTTGGAACAAATACTAATAATCTAATATCAATGGTAATTGAGCAAGAATATATAATTATGTTTACAATGAATAGGTGCCATCCCTAAGAGGGTGTCGAGTAGTATATCACGTAATACTGAGTCCAATATCTCGACCGAAAGTATACTTTAAATGTAATTTTCAAACAGTTTATATAAACATAGTTTTTATACATTAATTGCAGTGAATTACTACTAAAACGCCAACATTTATCCAATAATTATCAAAACTTTTTTAAGTCTATCTCTCTGTAAGTGTTTTTCGCTTTAATTATTTGACATAAATATTAAATAAATACAAATAAATTTCAGTTAAAATAACAATTTTATACATTTCTACACACAGTAAGTATTTTATATAATTATATTAGTCTTATCTTAGTCTAGCAAATGAATCGTTATATTTGAAAGTTTTGCCTTAATTTTTAGCTAAAAACGTTTTTTCACTGCAAAATGTTTATTAGCAGCTTCTGGTGCTAACAATTAGTGTAGGATTTAAATGGCTTTCTCTCTCGTAATTAAATTATGTTTATGTCCTAATCATCGCAATTTATTGTAACATTTTTATGCAGACATTTTTGGCATCAAATGTATTTTTGTGTTTAAATTATTTAGTTTAAAATGTGGTCAAAAAACTCTTACCAATTAATGTATAAATTATAAAAACAGTTTTTCAGCTGAATTTTGTTTGGATTTTATTTTCGGATATATTGTTTAATAACAGATAAATAAATAAATATAATTTACCAATAATTGTAATTTACATTTTAAAATATCGATATAAACATTCTGTATAAATTCAATGTATCAATATATTATGATTGACTAAATCCTGTACAAAAATTATGATTGAGTTTTAATTACATTATAATTATGAAAGTTTGACAATTTTTATGGTATTTGACTTTCTGTCAGAAATACAGCATTTTTCAACATTTGCAGCGAAATATAAATAATGAAATAAATGTTAATTAAAAGCGATGTTGAAATAATAGCCATATGTGATGAGATGAGTTACCATATCAGACTTCATTCATCCAGGTACTTGTATAGTGACCACATTAGGCACCATAATAGGAATATGAAGAATAACACAATCATTACGGCCACCAATACCAGGCCTAATATGACCATCATTTCACGCATTGTATTATTAATTTAAATATTTACTATCAATTTAAATATAATTTCCAAACAGTATTGGTCTTACTTTCAATTGAATTGAGTCACAATATATCTAAACAAATGTTAGACTAGAAAACATGGGATAAAATGCTATACATTTAATATGGAGATAATTATCATTGATAACAAAGACTGGTATATTAAACGTCAGGATAACCTTAAGACAAATGCTATATATTTCAAGTGTAAAGTCTAAAAGTCATATCTAAAAAGTTATTAAACTTTTTAAATGCTAGACTTTAAAATAGCTTTTAAACACAAAGTATTTTATTACTAAAACTATTTAGCTAAAGTCTATTGAAATTAAAGTATCATATTTTTAAATTACTTTCTAATGAGAGTGAATAGAAATTAGTTTATAGTGTTTGTATGAATCAAATATAATCTATTGATTGTATTGTCAGGTCTCGAGACAGTGATAGAGAAAGGGATTTAAAAGTGAATCAAAAGTTGGGGAGAGAGAGAGAGAGAGAGAGAGAGAATTAAGCAAAAGTTTTGACTTAAAACTCATTAACGGACTATAAATGAGTTTAGATTACAGTTCATTATTATAGACGATAAGTAAAAGTAGAAAAACAGATTTGTTCTGGACAGTAATTAACAGCACTATTGAGAGTTAACAGTAATTTCCATGATATACTACAGTGTACTTTAGTTTACAATAACCAGTATTTCACACTTAATCTACCGGGGTTATTTAACTGTCAACAGAATATTTTTAGTATTAAGAAACAAATATTATTCACTTGTTTTTAACACCAATATTATACACGATTTAATGATTCACTATAGCAATGGAAATGTAAAGTATATTCACATTTGTGAACATTTTTCCCAATCACTGCATAATAGAGTGAATTGTATTTTTTGGTCTAAACTTTGATTTCTTAGGCTTTTGTTTAGTTGTCTGAGAGATAAGTATTGGAATAATATATACGAGAGAATGCAATCAAAAAAGACTTTTTGCTCCGGTATTTAGCTATTAGTGCCGTGTATTTGAGTGAATGGGTATCAATCCCTGCCCTCCACTCTCATGACTAGAGAGATGCCTGTCCTTACGAATAGGGATAGCCATCATTAAGGCATGAGTTAAAAGGTATTAATAGTAGGGATGAGAAAGAAATGACTTAATCAAGAGATCAAAGAATGCAATTAAGGCTATAATGTATTACATGATAAGACACGCCAGTGTTGTTTTTTAGTGATACGGGTGCTCCACTATTTGTACGGCATATGTATGGCTATATGAGTGCATGGATCGGGAGTTTGGGCGATGAGTGCACTCATAGTGAGCGAGAGATGGAGGAGAGGGAGAGAGAGGTCATCCCTATTACAGCGTATGATATGAATCCCGTAATTATGTTTATGTACAGCAGATATAAATGTATAAAAAGTGAATGCATTTGATTGTATGACATAACGATTTATGATATACTGTATCAATAATATAATGTATAACACAATTTGATACGAAGGTAGAAAAGTAGGGGATTAGATCATTTTCACATACCTGGCCCCTCTATACCCCTCTATAATGTAAGAATTTTGTTTCAAATACTCATACAGTGGCGTAAAATATTAGAAAAAATTAATAGTTTTTAAATAGATGACTGACTTATTGAACAATATATTATCTATTTATAGTAAGTATTATCTTGTTTTTAAGTCTGAGAGCACCGGGAGGATATTGAGCCATAGAGTGAAGGGAGTGGAGTGGTGTGTGGGGGTTAAGCAGGGTACAAATGATTGAGTGAGATTATGATTCATTGCTGGATATATGCCTTTAATACCCATTGATATCAGAGATGGGATGCGAATATGTTTTTATTGATAGGCTGATGGTATGTGCCATCAGTTATGTGGTGTTTGTCTCAATCAAAATATCTCTATCCATACAATAGACGCGAAAAAAGTTTTAAGTTTTTTACATAAAATCCATTACACCTTAGAGTGAGAGACAACTCATCTCTCTCTCTCTCTCTCTCTCTCTCTCTCTCGTGATTTAAAGATTATTTTTTACATACAAAAACAAAATGCTTATTTAAATTTCATATTTAAAGTGTCAATTGTTTTGTTGATAATATGTCTTATTGTTTGCAAATAAATAAATGTTTGTTTTGAATTCAATTGAAGACATCACTTGAGATCATATTCAAGCGATAGCGCCGGCAACTGATGGCTATCAGACCAGTGGTAGTCCTGTCTATACAAACCGTATACTATAAGTGGTATACGATTTAGAAACCAATTTTCCATATCTTTGAACACAATAACTACACGACAGATATAATAGATATAATACATCTCAAGCCACTCCACTCAATACTAGCCCAACATTTTGTACACATAGTTGTGTCTCTCATACGGAAAACTACCCGAAAACTCAAGTGTTGTTTTAAGTGTACGGATAGACACAGAGATATCAGTTTTGACACACGAATGATGGAAAGGCATCCCTTGACAAACGGTAAGTGCACTTCAATACCAACTACCAGTGCTATACTCAACATTCAGCCAAAATATATCGCATTTAGTGGCTATATATCTATAAATATACGCAACATTGACCTGACATTACCACCAGCGCTGGCAACAAAATAGATGTCTGTCCCTCTCATACAGACACACACTCATTGAGCCTGTGAGAGCACTGGGATGTGATAGAAATAGACAGACCAATTCCCGTATTAAATGTATGTGTAATGAAAAAGACAATCACACGCTCTGTCTTAACGTGTAGTTCCCTCTCAATTCATATAAGACGAGGGGAACCGACCGTCGAGTTCACGAGAAAACTTCATGAATAGATGGCATGCGATTGATAACCACCAGCGAAATGAATGGTCGACCCCGGGATGACCAGGCGTACTGCAAATCTGAGTCAACACACCGTAAACACTATATTATTGTCAAATACAATAAATATACTTAAAGTTAAAATAGCTATTAATTATTGTAAATAGCATTTAGTAAAGAATTTACAGAATTTAAATTGTCAGTATATATTGTGAACCCTGGTTATACATCTTTTTGACAGAGACATCAGTAGACAGTTATAGAGTGACCCCTCTATTGAAGATTTATTCACTGTTTTCTGATCGTATTTAACAATTTGGTTCAATCATGTAATTGAGTAAAAAAAACCTTTGAGAAATATATACGAGTGTATATACTTTCAGCTGCCAGTGTGACCTGAGGTATGGGAACGGGTGGTATAATTTATATGTCGTACAGTTATTTTTTCCTAGAAATCCATGCCTTAAATAACGTAAAATTGTTTTGTAATAAAAGTATAAATTCTTTAGCAATTATTTTTTGCAACACAATAACAATTGGAAATGAAAACTAAAATATAGAGAAATATAATGTGTTTTTCATTTTATTATTGTTTTGCTGTTGAGTGGTTAAAGTCAACGGGAGTTTATATGGATGGGGAACGGTATGTATGCCTACCAGAGATGTGCCACAGAGGGGTTGTGACACCGAAAAAACATTTCCATCGGGTGTTGATATATACGCGAAAAATACTGCAAAAATATATAAATTTTTTGTAATAAATATTAAATTAAAACAAATTTTGGCCCAAAAATGCCACACTTTTTTGTGCGGGTAATACATCACTGAAATGTTTGAGACATTTGCAGAGACTTGAGCTTAAAAACAATATATTCAAAATCCATGGCCCCCACCGACCCCCTGACGAGATATAGACCTCGCACTTCCACATCCCTGTGCTCGCTGTGAGTAGTAAGCACTCAATAATTGCAAATCCATTGCCTATTGTATGACTGGTTGGACACAAATACGGATCGTATAAAGATTTTTTGTGGTACTCCTCAGCGGTAGTGCTATATCTCTATATGAGAGAGAGAGAGAGAGAGAGAGAGATGAGAGGGAGAGACAGTTTCTGGTGAACTGATCCACGAAAAAAATTCTGTACTGTTGTGGCAAATGATTGATGAGCCGATAGCACAGTCAGGTCTACTCACAGCACGGCATCCATAGACACAGACACACACCCGGAGCACAAGCAGTACTACTGACAGATAGGACGGTGTGAGTAACGCCAGTGCTATTTGTGAGCGCAAAACAAAAACTGCATTTTTCTATTCATATTCTGTGTTTGACTTATGATATAATGAATTACAAAACGATATATTCATTGACAAACACTTTGGATGTTGTGTTTCGTATTTAGGGCTAATGTATAAAACATTTACAAATACACTGTATTTATTAAGACTGAATGCTCAGGCAATTGCTTTTCGAA